AGTTCCACGTTGTGCATGACGACTAGAGACCAACAGGGGAGTACTTAGCCCGCATATCGCAGCACTTTTTCTTGTTAAATTAGTTAGACCCTCGTGCAAATCCTGCGCGCGACGTAATTTGTAACGCCTCTTTCTCTCCACAACGTGAATGTATTGTCCCGATGGGCTTGAGACGGATTTGACACGCATGTGAAATAGCGCCGTCACTTAGTAATGGTTTATATCCGCCTTCAACTCCCTCCCCCTATCTCTGTAGAAGAAAAGGTACTATAAAAAACTTACAGCACAATAGAAGCTTTTGTCGCATTCGGGACAAGTCAGCGTCTTTATCCTTTCTGTGTGCTTCACCAATATATGCCTAAATAGGGATGTTCAGAAAGCAGTAATCATGTTGAAATCTTCTGCATAACACATAGTACCGGTGCAAGTCAGACGGCAACTGAACAGCTAATCCACAAGTAGGGCACTGTCTTCCGTTGATGTGACGCCGCACGTGGTTCACCAATGAGCGCTCATCGCCAAAGCGACGCTGGCATAGAAGACAGAGCTGAAAAATGACTAGTACTTTGAGCTCTCCTGAATTACTGGTTTTCAGCCCTGTTTTGCTTGGGAAGGGCATTTAGCACTCGGCTAATTCGTTTGGTAGTTCCTGTTATATTACACGACTCATCTTGGTGAGACTTGCAGTTTCTTGTCAGTCTAAAAAGCTCCTTTTATTGCATACCCTCACAGGAATTAACAGGCATACGCACCAGGCATCGGCAGTGATCCGCTGGGAAGTAAACAATCCCCCTCACTAAGCCGAACTGCGCCAACCGTCATAATGTCCCTCTAAGTCTAGCCTAGCACATTTTTTTTTGTGTTATAAGCTCTAGCCAGCTTATAAGCACCGAATGGACAGTGAAGCTCGAAAATAAACAGCTGAGAAAACATACGTGCTGGTTTTCTTTGCCCTGTGGGATCGGCGCCCGTTTGCGAAGATGTTCATAGAGTTTATCAGGTCTTGAGAAGAAGCGACCGCAAAAGG